GTGTGTGTCCCTATAGCTATATAGTAGACGTAGAGATTGATAGATAGGTAGCTAGAGAGCTTGTTAGCTAGAGAGATAGATAGCTACTCGTAGATATAGAGAGAGAGGGGGTAGATAGATAGAGATAGATAGATAAATAGATAAATAGATAGATAGATAGATAGATAGATAGATAGATAGATAGATAGATAGATAAGGAGAGGGACAGACAGACTGACAGACAGGCAAACAGACAGATAGACAAACAGCGAGGGAGAGATGGGTAATGTCTCATCATTATAACTTACACACGAACACACTTGTGACATATTTTTATATCACGCTTTTTTTTCTTCTTGTGTGTGTGTGAACTGCCTCTTAAATTTTTACCTTCCGTTTAGCTAAACTTATCATTTACTCGAGTAGTCACTGGAGTTTTGCCAGCACCGCGTGTTCTAGGATATGGCCTAGCCTTATCGTGATGTCAGCAGTGTTATCTGGCTACTGCTAATTTTTAACAGAAATCTTCCAATTCAGTGTAGGCATTCTGTGCCAATGCATTTTCACGTTTGGGTGCATAGGAATCAAGAGCAGACAACTCCTGAGTGATACTGTGGGCGTTTCCTCCAGGTGAGTTTACACCTGTGAGGTCTAAAGATCTTTTGTCTCCGAACGTCCCCCCCCAAAAGTCAACATAGGCTGCAGCAAAAACAGAAAAAATGTCCCTGTGAGCAAAAATACATTTTGCTATTGACCCACACTGACATAACTCTATAAACTGTATGTTCGATCTCATCTCAGCTGTTTCCCGTAGAGTGATGTCATTACTTCTCAGGGGAGCCAATCAAACGTAGTGGTCGGGTTTGACCTCCATGCGCAAGTACCCTCGTTTTGGCGTGAAAGGAGTCAGCCATTTTGTTGGAGCAAATTCGTGTGCTAGCCGGAATAATAATGATTTCTGTGGGTGACTTTCCTGTCTGATTATGATAAAATGGCTCACCAGCAGTCATTTCAGTCTAATTCTAGGATTGCATTTTATTTGTCAATGAAATAATGTTGTGACAGGGAGGGTGTCTCGGTGTTTCTGGAGGACTGAAGGCAGTTCTTTGCCCTAGCGACCCGTTTCCGGGCTGTCCTGAATAGTGAAAAAGTATCAACAGAAGAGCTAAGAAGCGTTCGATCTATAGTTTTGCCTGGTGTTTAACGGCGTTCTGCCTCTTTCTGTTGAAGCGGAAATCTTTAATTTTCATTGCATTTGTGCCTATCCTGTAAACATTCAATGAATTAGAATTCAAGATGTCGGCAACGGCACGGGCCCCCCTTCACACTGTCCATGAATCAGTTCCTGTGGATAGACATGTAAGTGTAGGGATAGCCTACTAACGCATGATGATGGTAATAGATCTTGGTCTATCTAGTTGTTCATGGGTTGGTATTTTGTCGTTTGTTTGGTTTATAGAGTGTCTGCTTGCTGTTCAGTTTGCATTACAGCCAAGTTTTTCTTGTCTGACGAATGTGCAACAGTTTTGTTTACACTGGTCCAGGCTGTAATTTGAGGAGGACCAATCCAATTCAATGCACGATTTCTAGATTCTAGCAGTAGCCTAGGCCTACTACTACTCTCATGACTGAGTCTGAGAAAAGTTAGCACATGATTTTTTTGTAAGCACTGCTGTCACCAGAGCACTATCCAACTGTCCTCTTTCAACTTGTGACTTTTACTTGTGTTGTTTTGTATTAGGACAATGAACAAGAATCTAGATCTATCTAGATCTAGATCTAGAAATCTAGATCTAGATCTAATCTAGAGATATATAGATCTCTAGACTAGATTCTAGAATCTAGTCTACCCCAATGGGCCAAAAGCCAACGAGCTGTTTGTGGTTTTTCTATTCAGATTCAAGGTCTAGACTTTAGTCTTGTCTTAGTTCTTTTACACAGTTGAAGTCACTGAAGCTAAGAGTGTCTAGATCTAGATCTAGTAAGTTGGTGGTATTGATGCACTAATTATTATGCAGTCAACCAAAATTAAATATGAATTGGAATTCGATCCATTGGAATTACCTGATTTCAAGACATGAAGCTACAGCGAGCACCTGGCACACCTCTGTGATTGGCCCAAATACAGCTGATATATTTCCGCCATCTATTTTTGTGGTCTTCCGGGGTTTCCCCCAAGACTTGGGTTTCCCTCGCCACGACTCGCCAGTAACTGTTGACAAGATCTCGCCGCATTTGTTTTATTGTGGTATTAATTTGTGTGTTATAATCTTTTATAACAATCTCAGCAATTCTCTGACCACAGATTTACCTTCTCCTCAAAGTTGTACACACACACACCAGCGCATGCGCAAACACACGCACACACATGCGCACGCACACCCATACACACAAAGCCGAAGCAGTCGACAGATGAAATCTAGATCTAGGGACGAAGCCCAATGCACGCTTCTAAGTGACAAAGCGGGCCTGCCACTGTGGTAAGCTCTAGTCAACGGGCGAGGGAAGCCCCGGAAGACGACAAAAATAGATGGCGGAAATACAGTCGAACCTGCCCTGACGGCCACCTCTATAAGACGGCCACCTGTTCAAACGGACACTTTCCATTCCCCCCCTTGCCCTTGCGTTTTTTCTATATAATTTAACTGTGTAAAATGGGCACCTGTCCAACGCGGCCGCGGCCACCATATTTCAACACACAACCCCTATCACACAAAGCAATAACACCTGTGTTAGACGGCCACCTAAGTGACTCCATTACGCTTTGTCATAAATCAAGCATTGGCCCCTGGCGTTGTGGGCGAGCCATCATAATCTAAAAACCTGTCGTTGTTAAGTAGTCCCTCCAACTGATCATGTTGCGTAGGCCCCTCCCACTGTTGACCAATAGATAACAAAATTAATTTTCAGCTGCTGGGGAGGGAAGTGTGTGATCCCTCATAACCCATAAGCCCCGCCCAGAACCCATATACACAAATCGTAGTGAGATGAGTGGTCACTGTTTACCCAGTCTGTAACAAAGTAACAATGGACGTCAGCATGAACTTGTGACAGAAGCGTCGCTTGTTCTCCGAGTGGTAGCGACACGTGTGTTTGTTTTACCATAGCACTCGATCCTCCTTGTCTGACACATTTCGTTTTATTGTCACCCGTGCACAAAAGCAGCAACAAAAGAAAAAAAAAACCCCCAGCGAAAACAACAACAACAACAAAAATAACAACAACAACAATGCAACTAGATCTACCTTCGGTTGGGACCTCCGAAAGGAAGGGTTTGTTTTCTCAGATAGGAATGGTTTGTTTTCTTCATCTTGATCAGTCTTGCCTACGACGGCCTCCTGTCTTATAAATACTTATACGGCCACTTTTCTCCTTGACAATGGGTGGCCGTCTTACACAGGTTCGACTGTACGTCAATTTGGGCCAATCACAGGTGTGTGCTAGGTGCTCGCTGTAGCTTCATTTGAAATTATCGTCTATGAAACCAAAATTCCACTCTCCATAGTTTTCTTTGGCTGGATCGATAACAACATAGTTTTCTTTGGGGCCAAATCCGGATGCTGAAAAATCAAAGTGTAGGGTAGGCCTAATAATTGTGTGGAATGATAATCTGCTCTGACTGACTCTCTCCGGTCTTGCTGTTTCTAAATATTGTATTTTACTGAAACGGGGCCCACAATGGCCACATTATTCTTGCATGTGTGTCTGATTAACCTAGATTCTAAATCATGTAGGATCTCTGGACTTGTGATTGAACACTTTATCTTTCTCTTTTGCATTGTTCATTTGATTAACTATCTTAACCCTGTTGCCCAGGCAGAATTGTTGTTGGTTGTCGGGTGTTTCCTGAGTTTATTTTGTTCAGTTTAGATGTCTCACCTGTTTGTTTGCTTTTTTTAATATCCGTTTGTTCATTCTTCTCAATCATTTCAAAAGTAAGGTATTCTGCTTCCAACGCCAACTATTGAAATACCCAAGATAGCCAGCCATTCTCTTGGAAGAATAGTGGTTGTCTTACATGGTTCAATGTCTTGGACATTGCCGTTGTTGTTATATTTTAATTTTATATTAAGAAAAAAAACCCAGGGTGGGGGGATTGGGAAGTGGTCGTTTATTCTGGTGATTGTTTTGGACAGGTGGTTGTTTGAACAGGTTGGACTGTATTTTATTGGGGATGGAAAAAGTCAGACAGTTTAATTAAACAATGCTGGAGTGGGTGGTTGGAGGGTGCTCTGGTGTGGTTTGCTCCTTCTTTCCTATCAAACATCTGTCATCCTCCTTTTTTGTGTTTGTTACTCCTTTGTAACATCTCAAATCTTCGGCACTTATATGACCTTATTGTGTTGTAAGTGCTGTAAAACCCTTATGAAAAGGAAAACAATGCTGGCACTTCACTGCTGAGGTATAGATTTTGCGGTCCAAGTTGAATTGGTTCCTTTTACTTTTGTGTAATAGAGGATGGGATGGTAAATTTCAGTTGACATTCATTAAGAGAAACAACAAAGTTAATGCAAGCTCTTTCGTTTTTGTTTTTGTTTGTTTTGAAATAAAAATTCTGTCGTTATTCTACTTTGATATTTCATTGATTGTAGCCAGATTGCAAGTTATGCAGCTGAAACTTTTATGTTGCAATAAGCAATTTCAAGCCTTGTTCTAGCTGCCACATTATTATATTGACTGGCTTATATCTTTTTGTTTAGTGTATAATTAAATGGTGACAGTATTGCTAGTTCAGTTTGTTTTTTGTTCATTGTCAAGGCGGATGAATAATCTGTTTGAATTGTAGGGCAAGCTGACCGCATAATTTTATTGTATTGTGGGGATGGCACATAAACTTTGGCCTCGTCATGAAATTGTCATCTAGCTGGAGGTGGTGTTACTAGTGATTGTTTCAAAATTGGTGGAAAAGCGAACTTTTAAAATTATTAGTTTTAATTGTATCGCAATCTTTTGTGCAAATTCTTTTTGAATTAAATTTTTTTTTAATGAAGAGAAGTTGGATTTAAATGTAAATATCTCCCCCCCCCCACATCATTTACATGGATAAAATAGTAAGGAATCACTTTCATCAAGAAATTTAACATTCTGGAGAAGTAGAAGATAAAGTTTAATGCTGTCCAAAGTTTTGCGTGGTCCTTTTATCCTTTGAATTTATTGAGAATGGAACTACAGTTGTGTCATTGTACATGTTTGGCTAGGGTTTTTTTTTCAAAAGCTGCTCTTGTAGGTAAGTGTATGTTTAGTGGCTTGCACTGAAGTTAAAGGTGGTGGAATACCTGTTGCTAATTTGATTTTTTGTTTTTTCTGTCATTTCGAGGGTTTTGGGCCTCCATTCATTTTGTTCAGGGCTGTTTGTTGCCTGTATTGCTTATTGCGAGAGCAATGAATGATCTTATGCACAGGCATAGCATCAACCAATGAAAATGAAGATGTTGAGTAGTGAGAAGGAATAGGAGTGTTCCATGTAAAAATATAGTTTTTCCTGATCAAATCGAGTGCTGATACTTTAGTTAGATTTCTTTCTGATTTTTTTTTGGTGGTTTTTTTTTGTTTGTTTCAGTACTGTAAGTAGGCCAGCATTTCGGTTTTGAAAATTGTCCCAAGTTGGGAAAATGCTCTGTGGTTGTTTCTTAGATAAGTTAAACAAATAAGTACTTGGAGTACTGTATCAGAGTGTCAAAAGTTCACATTTCATTCTGATTTGTTTGCCCTATTTTTATTTGTTTGTTGCTTGAAGAGAGTGGATTTGCAGTGTTGAGTTGTAAAAAAATATTTTACTTTCTGCTGTAATAAATCTTAGATAAAAAGAAATTTCTTTAATGTTTTCAATGATTTTATATTTTTCAACTTATACTTTGGTCTATTGATTTTTTTTATCTGTTGAAGATCAGAAGAATGCTGTTGTACAATGTATCAGGACCAAATCTATCTCAGTAATAACACTTTAGTTTCATGCTAATAGCACACACCTATGGTGACAAAAAAGCTTACTCTTATCAGGTGAAAGTGCTATAAAGCAGAGAGTAATTTAGAGTTAGTATTCTGTCGAATTTCATGGATTACTCCTCTGAGTAAAGCAACTGCTGATAAGGGCAAGGTTTGGTGTACAGTTCTGGCATTTGGGTCGAAGATTACGAGAGCCTGGACAATCAGTGCCTAATCATTGTTTAGTTTACCCCCAACTAACTAGACAAACCAACATTTTTAGTCCGCTGTGCGGTACATCATTGATTGTTTGAACCACCTTGCTTCTGATCTCCTTTGGTGGGTTGTGTCATTAAGCTGAGCTCACCTGGGGTATGAAGTTTTCCAATGCGGAGTGGTCACAATGACCGTCATAATAATGTCCGTTTTCTCACATTGTATTGTTGCCTTGCCACACAGGGATGGTCGCTGGTAGTCTCACGTTGTCCTTAAATGAGATACATTTAATTTTCTCCCTTCCCCCTCCTACGACATAGCCACAATTTAAAGTAATAAAGGAAAGCACGTGGTGTTTGCTTTGCTTCTATCCAAGCAGAATGAGTCCTTTTGTAATGATCTGTTTCCGACAATAGTACAGGAGCGATCATGCTTTTAGGCAGAGTTGTCAGTGAAGACCCTGCACACTTTTACTTTTATGAGTTATAATATTATTATTACAAAGGAAAAAAATTTGGTTCTATGCTTACAGCATAAGGCGAATCGTGCTTTCATGCGGTGTGTTATAGCTTTGGAGCACTGTATAACAAATAATTGTTGTTTTTTAGGTGTTTTTTTTTTAGGGTTCTGTTTTGTGCCAAATGAATTACATTAGATTGTTTGTAAAATGTTACTATTGATCTTTATTAACTTTACGCGGCTTGTCTATATTTCAGGGCACAGATGACAACAGTGGCACACCATCCTCCAGAATACCATCTTCTCGGAGTCGAGCTACAGATGAACCTCACATAGGAAAATATCGTTTAATCAAGACCATTGGCAAAGGCAACTTCGCTAAAGTGAAATTAGCGAAGCATGTGCCCACAGGAAGAGAGGTGAGACTTCTTTTGGTGATTTGTGGTTGTTATGATTTTTGGTCGTATCCATGTGGAAATTGTGTTAATATAAAAGTATATTTAGTGTATTCGGCAATATATTTTCACCTGCAAATCAGTCAAAATCTGGCCAAATACGATGTATACCGAAACTTGTGCCATTTCCTCCCTTCCTTCATGTACTCATTTTTTTCTGTATCTATGGTCCTTTGCCGCAGTTGGAAAATATGTGCATTGAACAAGGGAATTGAATCATGATGTTTGAAAGAAAATCACTGTTAGAAAAACTTTTTTCAAATCTGCCTAAATCTGGAGAATTTGCTAGTGTGAGGATTCTACTGGAGCAGGATAGCTGCGGTGAAAGACATTTTGATGTTAAAACTGAAGCTAAAAATAATAAAAGATTTAAAGTTTTGCTCTGAGGTTATGACATTCAGCATTCGATCGTGAAAATTCAGGAAAATTCGGGCTGGGTGATTGTATCATCTAAACAAATATGACAGAATTGGCCTTCTGTCAGCTGTGTCATGACAAATTGAATTATAGTGGCAATGGGAAGGGGAACTTTCTTTTAACGTTGCCAGCAATGAGATGAAGAAAATAGACGAGACAACATCTTGGTGAAAAAAATAGGTATCAAAGGTGGTTAGAAATCTATTCAAATAGGCTCCCACTTGACATTTTCAACCCTCTAAAAGCACAGAATTTTTAATTTCTTTGGCGACTGCCCACTAGGACACTGTCCCCGGACCTTGCTACTGGAGCTTATGCGACTCCCGACCTTACTTGTCAGAATTTTCCTTGTTTTTCTGCTTTGTCTGTTTGAGACTCTGAGTAAAGAAAGTGACACGTCAAAGACTTGGGATCTAAATCTTTGTCACGAGTGGGCTAGATCTACACAGCGAATCCAGTAACACAGAGACATATATATGAGACTGCTGTCCTGGCTAACAAGCTAAGCTGAAAATTTGTGTTAGTAGGATCGCACACTCCATGGCGACAAAAGGTTTCAAGGTGATAGTATAGGTGTATAGTATAATTGCTATTTTGTAAAAATTTTGTTTATTTTTGGGAAACATAAAATAAGGAAGTAAGGCCTTTCATCAGCAGACCTAGAGAAACTGGTATGAACTAGCCTTTTGGTTCCTTTATGGGGCACTCCAAAATTTATGTAAGTGAAAGTTATTTATGATCGTTACGAAAATCATTTAGTTGAGTAAATGAATACTTTGCTTTATTATTTGTTATGTCATTATTTTGCTGTTTTATTTTTATTTTTTTTACCTTATTGTAGGCCATATCAAATTATCATCTTCCATTGTTGATGTACCTGTGTGCAAAAAAAGAGCCCCAGTAATGTTATGGTACTCAAGTATATAATTCCATTTTTGTGAGTTAGAATGCACATTGACATGCTCTGTCTTCCGTACATGATGGATAAATAATAGTTGTATATAATTTTTTGTTTTTTCAGGTTGCTATAAAAATTATAGACAAAACTCAGCTTAATCCCTCAAGTTTGCAAAAGGTAATGTACCTGTTAAAATTTTTTTTTCAATTTTTCCATAGACATCATTTTTTTGGTCAGTGTACAAGTTTGTATTTATTGGTTTATTGAATACAATCTTGTGTTTGGTTGGTTGGTTGTCCAAATGATTTATAAGAACTTTCCTACCTGTTTCAAGAAGAATCTCTTTTTGTTGTTAAATGCAACACACATTTTACTGTTCGGTTTATTTTAATAAAATTTTAAGTATGTTTATTGTTTTTATAAATGTTAGTCTTTTTTGTTAAATGTGTCAGTACATCAGTTTTTGGTGCTTATATGACCAAATTGTGTCAATAGTGCAGTAAACACCTGCTCAGTCTTAATCTGTCTGTTGCCTGTTAAAATACAGGCCCCTTCCCTCGTGGAAAGTGTTGGAATACTGAAAAGAACCTTCTACCTCGCACAATTGAATTGCGTAGGAACGGGCAACATTTTAATTTGAAAGAGTAAGAGGTAATGAGAGGGTTTTAATTTAGAGTGTTAATAGCAGTGAAGTTTGCAGAAATTTAAACTAAGGCAGTGTGTTGATGTATTGATGTACTCGTGATAGTTTTTAGTTTGTTTTTGCCATGTGTTCTTAAAATGTTTCGTTTACTTCACGAACAGATGGTTTGAAATATTAATGTTTGTTTTGTACATTCTCAATTTTTCAGCTCTTTCGAGAAGTGAGGATCATGAAAATGCTAGATCATCCAAACATAGGTAAGCGTTTAGAAATATTTGTTGTAAGTTTCTCCTCGTCAGTTGCCTTTATGGATAGTTTCTTTCGTTATAAAATGTTAATTTCAAGTAGGTGAAACTCCAGAATGAGTGATCTCTTAGCTTTCGGTCCATTGTGCTCTTATCAGTGCTTTACGGAAATCCGTACTTTCTGCCAGTAACTTGTCCCTCCATCATTATCTACTCCCTCCGTAAAAAAAAAACTGCGACAGTGCAGGACTGCCGAAATTCCGTACTCCCCTTCGTATTGTCTTGTATAAGGTACGGATATTTACGGTAATTCTCTCAGCAACAAGTTAACGTTATAGAAACCTGCTTAATTGCGCATTTCCTGCAATCGGACATTATACCGCTATGTCCCAGTCCCATGCATTCATTGCGTGTTGGTCGGCAGTACATTTTTTACCTGCAGATGGATCAAAATCTGGCGAACCTTTTGTGCCAACTTCCTCCTTTCTGTCATTCACTCATTCCTTCTGTCTATCTTCGGATTGTTGCCGCGGCTGGAAAATCTGCGCATTGATCAAGACTGATTTTGATCTTAGACAGAAAATTACTGTCTGAAAGATTCTTTTTCGCAAATTTTATCTAGATCTAGAGAAATTATCAATGCGAAGATTCTACGGCACGTGAACGCAATATAAGGGCCGCGATGAAAGAAATATATGCTGATACGGTCGTGCCCACTACGGATGGGATCGGCCGATTGCGCTGATCGCCTGACTCGGTCGAACAACCGTGTTTGCTTTGAAACTGGAAACAAACACGTTTGTTTTTGAGGCGATCGAGTCGGGCGATCGGCCCAATTGGCCGATCCCGTCCATAGTGAGCACCACGTATAAAATCAAGATTACTTCGAAGTGGTGTTCCGAGGTTGTGACAGGCGACTTTCAGACATGAACATTTAGAAAAAATGTGGGTATACGCTGCGTAACCGTATTTTGAAGGTACATCTATTCATTATTCCCAGGTTTGCCTGCTGTCAATGGTACGACTACAAATTAATTGAATTATAGTAGCAATGAAAGGGGAACCTGCTTTTAAACATTTCCAGCATTGGAAAGATATGCTGGTAATGAAGTCAAACAAGACAAAATGTTGGTGAAAAAATAAATATTATGGGCTGAAGGCAATTATCTTCAAACAAGCTCCCAAATGCCGTTTTCTACGCTCTAAAAGCACTGAATTTCAATTTCTTCCCTGATCCCCCACCGGGACGCTGTCCCTGGACCCTGCTGGGGGCCTCTGTGGCCCCCAGACCCCCTGCAGAATTTTCCTTACTTTTCAGCTTCAGCTGGTGGAAGCACTGTCTTATTCAATTTCTCTTTAGTTTCAGTGCATTGTCTTGCTTAATTTATTGGAATGGTGAAGACTCATGGATTTGATGTTCAAATACAATATCAAGTAAAAATGACATTTGTTTCTGTTGTTTGATTTAGAATATTCACTTGTATTACATGGGTTGTGTTATTGGTGGGAAGATGCTGATCAGTTTGGTTTAAAAGAAATTTTTGGCATCTTTATATTCATTGCAACTCCTGGAATTTATGTCAGTGGTGGCTTAAAAGTTTTCTTACTAATGGGATATTTCTCTTGGTTGAACATTATTTCTGCTGTAATGGCTTTTTTATTTCAAGATTGAGTCACCAGGATCTGTGATATAGCGATCAGGTTCTTTGCAATTGCCTGCAGGAGACCCGAGTTGAATTCCCAAGTAGGGAGAATTTTATGGAGTATCTCGTTTTTTTACGCCACCCTCCTCCCCCAATGTTTTTCTCTCAATGTTGTGTACCTTTCTCAGCCCAGGTTGGCCCTGACATCTAAATTATGTTGATGGGGGCATAAAAACCACTGACATTAAAAATACTTTTAAAGATTTGAGTTGTCATTGTTTGCCTACTTTGCTTTCATGATAATACCTATAATGTAATGCCATGAAATTTTAAAGCTAGTTTTTCAAGTATAGACATTCTCCATTCTATTTCAGTCAAGCTATTTGAGGTTATTGAAACAGAAAAAACTCTGTATCTGGTCATGGAGTATGCAAGTGGAGGTGAGTGCTCTCTTGACATTTTGACTTATTCAAGTACATTTATGTTTTGTAACTTTTATGAACATTTTTGACATGGCGCATTCTCAGACATGAAAAAGTTTGACCTGAGCTGGCTTTCTATTCTTTTAATCGCAATAAAATGTACTTTTTGCAACAATAAAAGAAAGGGATTATGGCTAAAATGGCTTGGCTGCAATCTTGCAGTTGTTTTTATTATATGGTCAACAAGCCCAAATGGTTTAAATCTTGGTCGATCATTTGTAAATGGAAAGATTTGTGTTATTTGTCCTTTTTCTTATTTTTCTGAGGAATTTTACACCCCCCCCTCTTGTTCTTTTTAGCAAAATAATTCATTCTCTATAGTTCTGATGATGCTGACCTTCACATCACTTTTTAGAACAAACCACATACTCTTCGGACTATAAAATTAAAATGAAGGTAGCATTCAGTATTCCTAAGAACATGATTGAGCTCGATTTTCATGATTTTGAGTTTGAGAACTTTAAATAATGAAGGTTGTTAATGCTATGTATTATATAAAATTGATTGTCGGTGAAAAAGGATTTACGAGAGTGGTCACTGGGGGGGGAGGTGGGGGGGGGGGGTGTCCTTGTATAAGATATAATAATGCTTACTCAAAAGCAGGGTGAAGCACAGTGGCAACCAGCAATGATTAACAGATGATACAAAATTTTGAAACTTCAGTTTTCATCCATTTATGTATTTATTTATGTACGTCACTGCTTCCTTCTTTCTTTCTTTTTTTACCCATTTTTTAATTTAGTTGTTAAAATTCCAAAGCTGTAGTAACAGAAAGATTGTTGTCAATTAGTTGATACTTTAGTGGTGTTGGAAAGCATTACATGATAGTCTTAGGGTTCGTGTTCATTGGAACGCAAACCAACCGACCCAAATCCGTCCGTCTCTCAGAAAGTTGGTAGTTGAAATGGAGCACCTTTTTTTTTTCCTAAGAAATCTGAAAATTCCGTTTGGCGGTGTCAACAGAAATGACACGGCGCGTCCTGTCAAAAGACATGTCAGTTGGAAGGCCGCTTGTTGCATTTTATCCGTGCCGGATGGTGGCTCATAAGCCATAGGCCCAGCGGGAGCTAAAAAAAAATAATCTAATTTTGAGTTCGGATTAAAAATCTAATGTCATATTTGTAATCAACACCTCAAAATGAGCAAAGTCTATGCGCAAACCACCTGGTTTAAATGCGTATTAACAATTTTACTAATTTTCCTTTCATACCCATACATTTCTTATTCCCGCCTTGGGTTCATTGACCTTTTGACTATTTATAGCCCCATACCGAGGACACAGCCCGCTATGACAGCGGCCTAGCGTAGGCCAGCAGGCCAACAGATTAGACGTGTTTTTTCCTAACTGTATGGACAAAAGAATCGGGTTGTGTCCGTTCCAATGGACACCAAGGCTAAGCCCTAAGATATAGGTTGTCATGTTAGAAGGGGAGAGGCAGCTAGTTTCAATATAATCTCTTATTTTCTGTGCAGGAGAAGTTTTTGACTACCTTGTTGCCCATGGTCGCATGAAGGAGAAAGAAGCCAGAGCCAAGTTCAGACAAGTAAGTAAAGCATTTTCTTTTTGTCTTTTCAAGTGAAAAATGCTTTTGTCGTTTACTTTTTTTCCTACTCTTTGTCATAGTTACTTGAGCAACTAGTAGATGCTATCTGTACAAGAAGATCTGGTTTGTGAAGTACAAGTTTTTATCTATAATGTTGGTTGGCTCAGTCTTTTCATAATCATATTGAAAACAACATTTTGGTGGTTTTTCTGTTTTAATTCTTCAATGGTGATTGTCGTAGGCTTTTTTTTTATCACTGCAGGTGACTTTTGTGTTTTGAAAATATTACTTTTTTTGGTAATTTTGTTGGTATAATATATATGTCAAATGATAAGCATGGTGACCTTACTGCAAAACAATTATTTTTCAGATTGTGTCATCTGTACAGTACTGCCATCAAAAGCACATTGTTCATAGAGATTTAAAGGTTGGTGTTTATCTGTATTTATGAACATTGAATGTGGGAGATAAGGGTGCATTTCTGGTCCATATTGGTTATGTGAAGTATGTAAATTGTGTTTCTCAATATTGGTTCAAACATTTGGTGATGTTGGATGCCTGTGAATTTGTTTTCCAATGCTGATTCTTTATCTTGGTGAGATCTAGACAATGAATTAAACTTTTTTTTGGACAGGCTTAAATGTGTAAGAAAAATCTACAGAAACATCTGACTGAACTTGGTAAACACGAGCAGCTGAAACTTCTTCCCATAGTAATGAGTGATGGCTCCTTGTGGCCTTTGTGAGGCACACAGGTATAAATATGAGTTTCTCATCTTAAGAGCTATGAATACAAATAAAACTGTAGAAAGCTTCACTTCTTTATGTTTATGTTTATGTTTGTTCTTTGTCTTGAGTTTAAACCAGATGTGAAAATAGTTGAGTGGAGTTATTAAAAAAAAGATTCTGTCATACTGTGGAAATCAATTCTGGGATCAGGGTTAAAGTAACTTACAGCAGAGCCTAGAATGGAGTTGAAATTGTTTGGGTTTTTTCCTTTTTCTTCCACAGGCAGAGAATCTTCTTTTAGATGGTGACATGAATATCAAAATTGCAGATTATGGTTTCAGCAATGAGTTTGTTCCTGGCAACAAGTTAGACACTTTTTGTGGAAGCCCTCCTTACGCAGCTCCAGAACTGTTTCAGGGTTTGTCATTTTTATAAAGCGTATTTTAACAGCAAAATTTTCCTATTCGAAATTTCCTGCCAGCATTGAGTTTATAATTAAACCTTTTACATGTTTGGGGTGTTACCAGCTGCCTTTTGTTTTGTTCTGTTTTTGAGCAGTCACATTTTGGTCTAAATGATGTCCCCTTGTTCTTTTTTTTACAAGTCAGGTGTATGTATTTTTTTTTTTTTAGACTAAGGGGTCACAGGTTTTTTTTCAATTTGTCAAGGTGTCTTGGCAATGAAGTCTTTGGCTAAACATTTGTGGATTGCAAAAGGCGTTAAGAACAGGTTTGAGATGCATCTCCGTATTTATATTAAGAAAACTGGATATAATTATTGAATGCTAGATTTATGGTTGGCAGGGCATAAGTGTTTAATTGTGACACTGAAAGTTATCAACAAGCATGGTAAAAGCCGTATTAAATCCTCAGGCTATGTGTTAAAAGTTAAAATAATTGTTAAAGTGATTATAAGTCTGATGAATTACAGGTTTTGAAGCTTTGAGCATATTTTCCTAGCATATTAATTTACTATTGGCAAAATCTTATAATTTGTTGGACGTATTTACATATATCATAGTTTGTAAGAAACATAAATTATTTGTGAATGCTTCATATTCTTTTTCTCTCTCAGGGAAAAAGTATGATGGTCCAGAAGTAGACGTGTGGAGTCTTGGTGTGATATTGTACACTTTGGTTAGTGGATCTCTTCCGTTTGATGGCCAAAATCTCAAGGTACGTTATTTTGTGTTTTATTCCTACTTAAGAAATAGATTGATGATTGGCATTTTAAATGTGTAAGTTCTTTTTGTCCACTCTTGGAGCTTTGTTGTGGCTACTGTCAGGATGATGTTGGGAGATATAAGTGGTAAAAGTCAGTTGCTAAAGATAGTGTGAAGGGGACTTTTTTTTTGCCTGCGAGCTGTTTACATATATGGATTCATCCTTGGAATACATTATTTTGATCTGGTTGTTCAAGTACCTTTCAAGAGTTGGTGGAAAGTTTGTGTACAATTCAGTTCAGATTTTGCTGCTGAACTAATTTGATGTTTCCATCCCCCATTTTTTTCCACTCTGTGTTTTCTTGCTTGAAGTCTTTGCCCGTTTTGAATTTGAAGGAATTTGATACATTTTACTTGTAAGTTTTTAAATAATGTCGTTATCTTTAGGAACTACGTGAACGGGTTCTTAGAGGAAAATATCGGATACCATTCTACATGTCAACTGACTGCGAGAACCTTTTGAAGAAGTTCTTGGTATTAAATCCTTTGAAAAGAGCAAGCTTAGAGGTAAGTATGTCTTTCAGTATGCTTGCTGAAATTTTGTTTGTCACACATCCCTGCTGAAAATTTAAAGATGTAATGCTGTTGCTATATCAAGGAAAGGTTATTGCTTATCTCTTGAAAAATATTCTGCCTTTCCAAATTTAGAAATGGTAAGATCAATCATGTTGTTATTCTAAATCATGTGTGTGTGTGTCCATAGGTTAGAGTAATGGAATTATATGAGACTGGATTGCTTGTATGGAAGCATAGGAGCTGCTTGTAATGAATTTCTGCTCACAAATATTCAACGGTTAATCTTTTTCCAGTTGTATGACAAGCTTATGATATCCAAGGTGAATTTTTTAGTAATCAATTGATTGAAGTGGACACAACACTAGTTAGATTTCTTCTACTGGAGGTTCAAATTTAGGAAAAGACCTGTTAATTAAAAGTGAACTTTTCTGTCTGGACAAAGTGCCAGGAAAGGCTTTTATCTGGTTTGAAACCTGAGGATGGTTTTTCTCTTGTTTGTACCAAGTGAATGAATTTAAGCTGCGAAGTTGTTATGGGGGAGCTTTTTCATTTTTAAAATGAAAACTAAAGTTTTATTACTATCTTGAGCAAATACAAGTTCTCGAAAACAAGTTTTATTGCTCTTTTGAGCAAATACAAGTTTTTGAAAGCACTGCTAAAAGATAAAGGGGATGATATATGCTTTTCTGTTTCTGGTGTTTTCATTATAATTGAATTTAATGCCATGTTCTTTGAACTCATTCAATGTATTCATGTCTGTCTGTTGCTTGAAGCATATTTTCAGGTGCTGATGGAGAGATGTGTGACCAGACAGCTAACGAGAAAATCATACTGTTGCATGTTTATGAAATTAAATCTTCTCTTGTATCAATTATTTCCTTGTGCTTAGCATTTTACATGATTTGATTTGTTTCACTGTTATCAATAGAAAGACGAGGTACCATTGTGGATTCATACTATTTGCTATAGATTTTGACTTATGAATTGAATTTTAGTAAGATTAATTCTTCATTAATCTTAGTTGTGCTTGATTTATGATAACGTTGCTTTTCATTTTAAGTTTGAAGTGTTAAACATTCAAAAATGTTGGTGAACTGTGGTGGAAGTTACTGAAAGAGTAGCACTTGGACCCTGATGGTCAATTAGTATTGGACAGGCAGCAAGACAGCCTGTTGAAATATCAGAAGGATTGGACTTTGAAATTCTCTATTTAAATGCCTTGTAGAATTAGGTGTCTTATATAATGTTTCTTTCTTTCAGCCACTCTGCATGTCAGAACTTTGGGGGGGGGGAGGGGGGGTTTCTTGCTCATTTGATTTGACTTTTTGAGGTTGTCTTTGTCTTAACATCATGATGCTGAAGTCTTTGTCTTTGTATTATGATCACAGACCATTATGAAGGACAAGTGGATGAATATAGGTTATGAAGATGATGAACTTAAACCTTTTGTAGAGCCTCCACCAGACATTAATGATCCAGTGAGGATAGGTAATGATGCCAGCACAAGTGTTGCCTCACTGCTCTTCGACCCCTTATTCCGGTCCTTCGGTGGACTTGTTTAATTTTCTTTTCAACATTTTCTGTTGCATAGTCACGTCTTCCACTGGATGTCTCTGTGTATCTTAACACCTTTTACAAAATTTTTGTTGTGTTTGTGGATGTAAAGAGGGCCATTTGCATGATGCATGTATGGGTGGGTGTCTGAAGATGTATTTTCAAATGCACTGACTGTCCAGATTTATTGTAAGCTCCAATCTAACCTGCCAGGGACTTTTTCTAGTAATCTACCACAAAGATGCGTTTGTAAAGCAAAAAAGTGTATGGAGTCTAGCGTTCATGTAAGTGCTCCTGAAACCAGAAATGATGGGGAAAAGATCATGCTTACTTTATTTTATTTCCCACCCTCATTTGTCAGTTCATTTTGGAATATGTCTTTAGTCACTCATTCAGAACCTAGTGTTGCAGCTCTTTAATGGCAAGCTAGGATTAGTGAGGCCCTCCTTCAACTCATTTTTTTCTCAAAGTTTTATGCTTTGTCTCAGAATTTGTTTGTTTTATTGCTCAGGCAATAATGAAAGACCGCTGGATCAATATGGGTTATGAAGATAAAGAATTAAAGCCATACAAAGAGCCGTCAAAAGATGAACTAGATCCAGTTCGGATAGGTAAATGTTGTGTGAAGTTCATATGTTTGAGATTTCCATCAATTCCATCTCCCTCGCTCACTTTGGTCATAATGAGCATTTCTCTAAGCATATTTCATCTTTTACAAGTAGCCGGAACAGTAGATATAGTTTCTTGAAGTAATGTTACAGTTAGGTGTCTGATCTAATTTTATTTATAAATTTCTTTTTTGTTGGAAATTTTGTAAGTGGAGGTTGCACAATTTCCTATCAAATGTTATTTGATTTTCTTTTAGAAAGCGCTGGCTGTGAGGGGAGTGGTTGTTGTGTTAAGCAGTCAGTGTGCTTGCTTTAGCTGTAAAAAAAAAGCTAATGCTTGTCTTTCAATTTTGATGCCAGTCTGTTGGAAACCTAAGACTTAAATGCAAAGTAGTGTATAGGCTTGGCTTCTTCGTTACACAGCTTTTTTGTGTTAATCTTCTGTTGGGAGTTTTATACAGTCTTCTAATTGCAGTTGTACTTTTGAATGCTCACAGAAGCCTAGAAAAATGAGCAACCTTCGCTTAATAAAAAGCAGTATTAAAATTGATCAAGCCTTTATCCATTTTACAAGTCTTTGAAGTCACAAACAAATCATATATACTTAGATTAGGTTTAAAAATTTAAAAAAAAAATCTGACCTCTAAAAATCAATGTCTGATGGAGCTTATGATACTGCATTTTTCTTCATTATTAAACAGCACTACAAACTAATATGCACAAGCCTTTATAAGTTTTGCTGTAGACTTAGTTGTCATGTTAAGTTTCACCATTATTGTCACGAAATGCTCTTTCGTTCCCTCATCTGTTTGGTGTTGTCTCATCGCCTGTTTTTCTATTTGTTTACTTCTTATTCTGTGTTTGTGAATGTCTTGAGTAGCCAGGTTGCATGAATTGATGTGCATGTGTGTCATGTGCAAATGAGTTATAGGTTTCTGTCTTTTTTTTTTCTTTTAACCAGTAACACATCAGACCTGTAAAATCCCTCCGCCAGCAATCAAATTGTAATGGAAAGTCCAGTCATACTAGTTGATCGTGTATCCTAGAGCTGTGCAAATTTTTTTCTTGATAATCAATTACTAATGATAAAGTTAGAATGCAAGTGTTCCGATGTTTAGGTTGGAATTGTTTTACTGTGTTGAACAAAGAACCAAAAAAACCGTAGGTCTTAAATTGAAAGTTGTTCGGTTTGAGTGAAACATGGGAATCATCATAGATATAATTTTACTTTCGCTCTGTATTAAAAAATTCACGATAGTATCAGAATGAAAAATCCCAGAGTCCTAAGTCGTTTAGCAGATAGGTTACCCATCAATGATGTAGTAAGTCTTTTTTTGTGCCGGTGTTCCATATTGAACATGTAGGATGACAGTAATAATAGCTAAAGCCACTTTTATTGTAAATAGATAGGTCTAGTCCAGTAGAATGTAGTGTTAGTTGGTTGTCAGTGTTCCGTCCACCGATACTTCTCTCAAACTTTATGCCCATACCAGACATAGGTTCAATACGCTGTGAACTTTTTACGTGTTGTTGCCCAACACTCTTGCATGCTACTATGGCAAAGGTATCTTAAAAGTCCCATCATTCCAATTCCAGTTTGCCCCTTTTCCTTCATTCCTCTTGATAGAACAAAATGAAAATGAAAAGGGAAACAACATTGTGTAATCAAGTAGCTGAATTCCTTTGCATTTTGCGCCGCCTTTCCATTTTTCTTTCTCTCCTTCGTCATCTCTGCTTCTTAAATTTCAGTAGTTTCTGTCTCAGTTGAAATGATTTATAGAACATACATACTTTATTTCTGCATTTATGAAATAGTTTGTGTTATGGGGAGGGGGGGATATGTTTCTGTGACTTGTTGCTTTTTTCTAATTCTGAGAAAAATTTTTGATCCATTTGATAGTAAATAAACAATTTACAGGTCTGATATATTTCTTCTCAAACTTAAATTATGACTGTTGAAATTGCGTGATAAGCAGTTGTCATAGTTGACTATTTTATAAAGTAGTGTTGGATAGTGTTAAGTGTTGCTTAATTTTTAAAGTTTGCCTGAAAATGTGGAATGATTGATGGATTTGTTTGTCTGGTTTTTTCTTTGTTTGTTTGTTTTTTAATACTCAATGTCTAGATGTTGAGACAAATTTTTCATCATCAAAATCTATTTTTTGGATGTAAAATTATACTTGTATAGTTTTATTTCATAATTGACATAATTAATATGAAACCAGTCAATGAGAAGATTTAAAGTTACAGTGTATGTATCTGGGTTTGAAGAGGCTGATACAAATTTGCTGTTCTCAAATATTGAATTATAAAGAGTACATTATTAATAATGTATTTGATTCCGATTGTCAGCTGTAAGGATTCTAGTAGAATGTTCGAGCTACAATATTAAATTAAACACTGGCAGGCTGGTCTGACTTGAAATTACAACTGTACTTGTCAACATTTAAACTTTTCTGAAACTGAAAAAAAAGTCCCTATGAATTGGTCTCTAATTTAACATTAAAACAGGTGGTGAATTTGCATTGTGAAATTTAAACACTTGTCCCCTGTGCAGAGCTATTATTAAGATTCACAACAATATATTGTATTCCCATGCATGTGTTGCTGTCATGTTCTATTTCTTAAAAGCCAAGGCACTCGAGGGGAAAAAATGTTCAAGGCAATTGTCATAGTATTTTGCTTAGTGGCTCTCTTTGTGATCAGAAAAATTATCTGCAGTAACCTAGGCTATATCAGTAATTACATTTGGTATCATGATAAAGAGGCTGATGAATGTTCTGTTTAAATTGTCTAAGACAGCAACCATTGAAAAATGACTGTCTTACACCAAGTCATTATAAATGTTGTTGTTTTTTTTTAAGAAAAAAAAATGCAAGGAGGAAAATGGGAAGTGGCCGTTTGTTTATACAGGTTATCATTAGAGCAGGATCAACTGTACTTGTATGCCTCTCCTTCCTTTAGCTCCCGGTTGATATGGTAGTCTGAGAAAATAATCTTCATTTCTTTGTGTAGTGTCTTGTGCAGTTTTGTTTGAGTGTACTGTACATTTTTGCTTGACTAGGATTTCATCTCACTATACAAGAAAGGTTACTTCTGTAAAGTTAGATGCTACCTGCATCAAAGGGGGTCTGATGACTTTCGGCACTCTAGTAGGTTAGTGTAAGAGAACTGATGATGCGGAAGTGGATGTTAGTGAACAGGTTCGCTGGATGGCATGTAGTATGTAGGCACCCCAAAGGGTAGGTGATACCTTAATGGGGCTGGCTTTGGGTACCACTGCAACATTGGGACAAGTGTGAAAAATTTTGAATTTTGAAAATCTGATTTTTGACATTAAATAAGCAAACTTGCAAAAGAACAGCTCCATGCATTAATATTTCTTGAATTTAAGATGTGAAGGCTGCAAAGAAGTGTATTTTAGAAAAGCTGACCACTTTGAACTAAAAGGGAACAAAAGTTGTTTGATTCAAAAATAAATTCTAAATATTTGAAAATTTAACTGCTCACGGTTAAATTAGCAAACTAATGGGGTTTCTTTTTTTGCTGTCTGTTGTGTGTGTTACTGTCTTGAATGACTGCTGTCTGTTATTTGCCTCACTTGTTTAAAAGAATTATTGTTCTTGTTTGTTATTTGTATGGCTGAACCAGAGTACAAGGACTTTACTTAAAAAGAAACTTGAAAGCATTGTCCTAGCAATTTAAAAAAAATTAATTTGTAGATGTGATAAAACTAATTATCTTTTTTAAAATTCACAATCAGATAAAGTACTTCTCTTTTATTTTTATGTAAACATAAAAACAATCTTTACTGTGTAAAAGTGATAGTTATACAGATATAGTCAAATCAATGAAATTTGTTTTTTCTGAGAGATCATTGTGTAGGATAAATGAATGTGCTATATTTTGTTTATGATGTATGAAAAAATTTCAACCCTCTTTGTGTCTCTTCTGCAGAGCTGATGACCAATATGGGTTATGCACGAAAAGATATTGAGGATTCATTGAAAATCCAAAAGTATGACGATATCCACGCCACATACCTGTTGTTGGGCAGACGTACAACAGACGTAAGTAGCTTAGTAAGTGTCGCTTTTTCTTACTAACATTTTAAAAAATCTTCTTCCCAATCTCATTTGCTAGTGTCCCTGCTCGTATGGATCAGCGACTTTTGTCATTAAAAAATTATATACGATAAATTGTTTGAAATGAATGCCCTTGATGAGTTCCCATTCAAAGCAAATGAGGTTGGGGTCCTTTTGTGATGGTGAAAAAGATTGACTGTTATTTCAATTTCTATATTGTTCTGCGAAAGCGCAAATAAAGTGCATTTCTACATTTTCAAAACAGACTTGCTCAGTCAGTACCAGGTGTTGGTTCTTTTAGAAATATGCAGTCTTACATAGACTTTGAACTTGGTAGTGCATAGATAATTTGTATATAATTTCTCCAAATTTTTGTTTTAGTGATAACTTTCTTTCTCATTTCCAACAAGATTTTCAGTAGCATTAAATTGTGTCACCAAGGACTTTGGTTTGCATAAAAATTGAAATTGTTTCATTCTTTAAACTATTTTTTTTTAAGTTTGCAGTTTGAAATTTATTGAGTCAGAACTGATGGCTTTGAATACTCAAGATTCAATATGTCTTTATGAGTTTATGAATAGAAACAACTAGGTTTGCCCTGTACATTGGAGGTTATCTTTATAAATTGAGTAAGTAGGTATTATGTTCTCTTTTGTACCTTTTTTTCCTTCCTGCAGTTATTAACTCATTCGTTACGTATTATTTTCGGCCTGTGGACGAATTTTTTTCTGGGGGGGCGGGCGAAATGAGATGATGACTAGTGGGCAGTTAAAAGGTCTTTGGGGCCACAAATTCAAACAAATATCAACGTATTATATACCAATATTTTCAGTATGGTTTGTAGAATACATTTGTAATGTTTATTTATGTATTTTTCAACTTTGGTCCCTGTAAGAGGCGATTATGCAACACAATTTTGATTGGATGCGGATAAAATTTGAAAATAAAAAATGTATAATCTTTGGTGAAACTCAAAAAATATGTTTGCACCTAGTCAAATGATAATATCAAAATAACCATAAATGAATATAGAACTGGAAAATATTGAAAAGTTGGCAGTTATTTACATACATTCCATAATATTTGTACATTTGGATCATAACATCCGATATATAGAAAAAAAATTATTATTATCTTGAAAAACGTTCACAAACAGAAAAAAAACCTACTCGTATCTTATGAATTATTCAGAATTGCATTTGGAATAAACCTATACTTGTCTTGAGTGGCACTTTTTAGTGTAATTTCATAAAAAAGTAGTGATTTTGGGGAGAAAATTTTTTTTTACAATTTAGATCTAGACCTAGATGTAGCACTCAAAAATATTGATTTCTAATATGGAAATGTGGATTGGAATAGAATCTAAGCTAAAATTGAAGATTGGTTCTCGGGGGCGGCTTAGTGTACTGACGGCACTTTAGCTGCGCGCGCGCCCGCCCCCCCCCCACGGCTCGGGGTAGCGAATGAGTTAACACCCTAACACCCTTTCCTTATCTGTATTGGTTACATCAAGAAACATACAATCAAACAAAAACAACCTGGCGGGCTCAGTGCAGTGGGGAAGAAACTAAGTGACTTGTTACTGTCCTCAATTTTCTTTTTTAAAAAGGAAAAAGTTTGAAATCAAAGTGAATTCATTTGAAGGAATTTGAAAAAGTCAAGGTTAGATTGTCTTTGAAAGCGTAATTTGTTGTTGTATAGCACAAATTAATATTCAAGTAATTTTCATCACAAAAGACGATGGAAATTAGTTCTGATGTTGATTTCGGGCTCCTTGGTATTTACACTGTGTTAAAAAAAATCAGACTCTGTCAAGAACCTATTTCAGTCTGGTCTTTGGGATAAGGTCTAGTTGTTCCAAATAGTCCTTAGGCCGTAGGGTTGATTAGTCCAATCTTTCAGGGCAACTGATTTGTGGTATACTTTTAAGCTTTTGCTTTCTTAAAAGTAACTTGCTTTAGTATCTGCTTCAAAGAGAGGTTATTTGAAGATCTGCTTTATAACTTTTCTCTCCTGTTGTCTATTTTAAAGACAAAGAATGTTTAACTTTCCTGTCTGATTGCTGGTTTAGCTTTTCTTGCAAAATGGTGATTGGCCCTGACTTTTTGCTTACTCACTTTTCGTAGCCTACTCGTTTTTGCAATCCCTATCTTTCTGACTGAGTGCTGAATAATATATTATGAAACTTTTTGACGTGTACAGATTTTCCACCCTTTCTCTTGTTCTTTTCTTTAGCATATGTATTAAGATGCGTTTTTGCCCTACAGGTTGTGGGTTTAACATATGCCTTGTATCTAAACTGCTTTGCTTTTCAATCATACTAAACATTATAACCTTTCTATTCCCTATCAAAAGTTACCATTTTATTCGGCATATTTTTTTTTTGTTTCCTCAATATTTGAAGGTCAGTCATTGAATGGTGACAGTGACAGTAGTTACTAATGTTCAAATATTCTGTCGTGATGTGGTGGAATCAGGTGTCCATCAATTTTTGGGCATATGGAGTTATTGGAATCAACTGAAAGCTTGTCCATTTGTTCTTGCTTTAGGTGAAAACAGTACATATCTATCTTGAATAGAAGTCAAGATTTTTACAATTGAAGAGGGGGGGGGGGGGGGTGTTGCCTGGTGTCAGAGTCCAAATAGGCGAGAAAATTGCCGCCAAAGTTAGGTAACTTCCATAGCTTGAGAGCCCTTGGGAACTGAAATTTACTTTTTTTTACCTTAAATCAATGTTTTCCTTTAAGATCCACGCAGAAATGTGTCTTTTTAAATGGACTTATAAGGTGTTGAGCCCCCCCCCCAAAAAAGTGATACTTTTTTTGTGTTTTTTAGTAAGTGTTTTGTGGCGCTCGCAACTGCATACGGTCATATGAGGGCGCAGGACACACTTAACATTTTCGATTGGTAGGGAACTTTGAATTTTGCACGGGTGGCGGCCAAAGCCTACTCTTATCGATTTTGGACCACCAAGGATCTTTAACGTGCGCAACTTGCCTCGGGACCTCTCAGATTTTTCGCCCTTGTTCGAGAAGGCTAGGTGTAGATCTTTCCTACCAGAAGATCAGGGTTGTGGCTGAATGACAAAAGTGAGAGGGAGCCAAGAAGTTTCAGTAGAAAGGCTGCAGAAAGAGTCCGGAGCCCAGTGGAGGTGGCAAAGGAGGTGAGGGGGTGGGAGAAGAAAGTGGAGACGAAAGCAGACGACAGAATATTGCAAGAGAGAAGGAAAGAAGGTGAAAGACAATTTTAGAGGGGGGAAATTTCCCACTGCTACCCGGATTCGAACCCGGGACCTTTGAATGAGAGGCGAACACTTTAACCTCTAGGCCACGAGAGCCGTCCCGCCCCCGCCCCCCCCCCCCCCCCAATAAATCGACAGAAAAATGCAGTTTTCTTTGATTTCATTATTTTGACAAGTGCCTGATTTCATAACAAAGCCTCACATATTTGTCCTAGATAAAAAATGTATGATTGAAAAGTGTAGGGTGTTAAAAATGTCAAAAAAATTTAAAGCAAAACTTTAATTTATATAATACTATTTGTTGTCCCTTGTGCTCAGGCTCAGGAAAAAGGGATTCAGAAAATTCTAGTTTCCTTTTCATTTATTATCTTTTATTGGATTCTTTGTAATATGGATATCATGTGGGCAAACATCAATGTTCATAATTCATGAAAAAGACAAATAGCATAGTTTTGTTTGCAGTGTAGAAAATCCATTTTTCATGGTTTGAATCGCTGAGAAAAATTAAAAGAATGACAACTAGGCAAATAAAAATTGAATATTTACAGACTGACAAATAAGACTTAAATGGTTAAATGTAAGAAATACATCCAAGTTTTTGCCATGATCCGATGTTTGTATCTCAAGCTCAAGAACTAAGTGGATGATTGGTAGAAACCCTAGTTCGATTCGCCCATTGGACTTGTCTTGCGGTATTGCCGCTTTTGCAATATTCCTGGCTTGTGATTTAGTACCTCAAATAAAATTGGTGTGTGACAGAATGAGTCTGAAAAGAACATGGATTTTCAGGGTCAAAGGAAAAAGTAAGGGGTTTTTAAGTGTGGGCTTTTCTTTAATCATGCGCAAAGAAATTGTTAGGTTATGCTGTCAGTTTTGCCTGTGTTAGCTATATAATATATTGTAGGTTGTACTTTGAAAAGGATCCATCTCCTAATCCTTGTGTAATGTGCGTAGGAGCAGTAAGACTAATGTGCTTTGTTACTTTTATTTATGTAGCTTGAAGGCAGTGACAGGTCTGGCAGCAACTTGTCCCTGCAGCAGATGCGCATGCCTACCAGACCGCACGACAGCAGTTCAGGCCAGTCCCCCAACAAGGTGACCAGGAGTCAGTCCGCCAACAGCAGCTCAAGCAATCAGAAACCCAGACGGTACAGCCAGGGTGGCGAGAACAATGGCAACGGTACTCACAATAAACGTTGGTGTTTTGTGACTGGAAATCACATTTTTTATTTCCCTTTTTTTCCCCCTTCATTACTCTCAGAACCCTCATTCATTGTATGTTTCATCATTGTAAACAATGTTCCCTATGAACTACTAAACTCATTCCGCCTGAAGCGATGACTCGGTTGTCACTACATGATTGTGCTTTTAATGGAGGAATGATTTAGTCGTTGATTTTAGGTCTGGTTGTATTTGACAGTGCCTTCTACAATTTTCTGCAGTATTTTTGCATTATCTGAATGTATTTGGGTTGAGACTGGAAGCTTTATAGTAATTGCAATTGGCACCAATAGTAAAGGGCAAAGGTTCTTGCAAAATGAAAGTCCCTTTTTGCTTTTCGCTCGATGAAGTGACTGATGCTCTTTTATTCTAATTGTATTGTAAGTCACACTGACTCAAACTTCAATAGTAATTTTCGACTGTTGCGAAGAACAGCGACAATGCTGACAACGGTGATGAAAGTGAAGAGACATTGAGTGGGTGTGGTACTCTCAGTTCAAACGTGCTCCCAGTCTAAATTTAGTGCCAGCTATGTCATCAAAGCTGTCTCAACTGCTAGTACTTACACAAGGATAGGTTCAGGGCCAGTGATGGGAGCTGTCAGTGGAGACTAGGCTGGGTTTGACTATAGCATTGCATGAATATGTGTATTTTAATTTCTCCAAGCTATTGAACAAAATCTGTGCTGGTATACCTACTTGTGAGGTATGGCTGCAAAAAAGATTAACTAGTAAACTATTCTGCTGTGTACCAGTCTGTATTTCATAGATAATGGTGAAAGTATGCTGGGTTAAACTCGTCCATATTCATTTTTTCCCCTTCAATTGTTACCCCCACGTATTGCGTAATTTCTCTTGCATAAAACGCAAAACTCCATCCTACCCCTTTATTGTGACAGCTCATTCAATTACCTATCCAACAGTATCAAATATATATACCTTTGTTGAAAACATGGCAGAAGAGTCAATTTAAAGTACCCTATTGCGATAGGTGCTCCTTTGCAAAGTAATTCCAGTATCATGGGCAAGTCAGTGGAAGAAAACTGGGCGCAGTGAGTTAAGATATTTGTTTAGAATTTGAAAATAAGATTTATCGCAGAATGTTTTTTTTAAATAACAATTTCTATTAATATATTTTCCTTTCTTGGATTTCATCAGAACCAAATATTCCATTCTGTAAGGGAAAGAATTATCTGGTTTTTATGTGAAACATAGGACTATTCTTTTAAGTGGGAAAGAACCATTCACAGAACTAGTCTGTAACAGTTTATACTGAAAAATCGCTGTCTCATCCCCATGTGATACAACTTTGGGAAAAAGCTCCAAGTAATTTGAATACTTCATTCTTTGTGTAAAATGTTGTTAATAATTTGTCAGATAGTGTTGGTGCTGTCAATGTCTTTTTTTCTTCTTTTTGTGGTAGATTTTGATTCTTACATTTTTCCCTTGATATATTTTGTGAAGTAGGATGAATTAGTTTTGTCAATATTTTTAAACTACCAAACCACATATTGCCTCTGAACATTACAGAAAGAAGCTTGTGGGTAGTTGATTGGTGCACTTGTGTGGTTTGCTCCTTTCTTATCAACATCTGTCAACCTTATCTCCGCTTTCTTTTCTGTATATGCTACTCTCTAGTTCCTAACGCGTAATCTTCATCACTTATATGATCCATTTGCATTGCAAGTGCTGTGCAACTCTTATTAAAACTTGATTAAAACGGACAGAAGCTTGGAATCGAAAGAGTCCAACCTTTGCCCCCCCAAAAAATGTTTTTGTTGAATTGTTCAGTGTTTTTTTTTATAGAGTACTTTGATAAGTTTTATTTTACCATGGAAGAATTTATTATTGGTGAATGATGCAGGTCTTCTATTTTGATGTTGAACTTCTGTTCAGGAATCAGGGGTAGTGTAGTGCTGTATGTTACCTTGATTTTTCCTATATTTTATAAATTTCTCGCTTTTTGCAGGATATTGTGTCGCAGCAGTTCTTTTTCTGGTTAGATATGCTTTCCTTTGTCTTAGTGGGTTTCTGTTGCACTGATATTTTCACTGTCTGCTCTCTCAAAAGGTGCTGGCAGTGTCACTACTTCTCAGTCGCAGTCTAACTCGTCGAGACGAGCCAATGCTGAGTCTGCCGCTACCAAGCAGAGCACCTTAGAAGAGAGGATGAACAAGGGCACTGTAGGAAGTGGCAGTAGTAGTGCAGCCCCACCTGCTTCTGTAGACTCTCCCAAGGTAAGTGGCTGGAAACAATGCCGGTTCTTTCCTTCTTTTGTTAAGACCAGCTTGGTACTCGTTTTTGTTGCATTTCCTTGAAGAATGTGAGTCAAATGTAACCTTTCTAATCAGTCGTTTCTGTATTGTGATTTTAATCAAGTTCATTTCTGCATTTGGTTGAAGTGGTGCAAATGTGTGCAAGTAATTTGTAAAATTAATGCAAGAGTTTTTGTTAGGGTTTTAAATTTTGAAAGTTACCTTTTGATAAGAATAGACCCCGGAAGTAACAGTTGAGGTTGATGCATAGAGACATTCACACCTCTTGTGGAAGGGATGTTTCAGAATTTAAAAAAGCGAGAGAATATATTCTATGAACTTCGATTGTCCAGTTTCTCTTCTCCGCTATGAGAATGACAAATCTGTGTAGTTGCTTATCCTTTTCTTTGCCAGAACAACTAGTGTTTGTGGACAAGAGAAAAAGCATCGCACTTTCAGAACACTACATGTAGCACTTCCACATAATTTAACTGCTGAGCACATTTTTTAGATTTCTTTGTTTGCATGATGTTCAGTGCATGTGCTTTAAAGTTAGAGATATTTGATTTAATAAAAATTATCAGCTGTCATAGAGTTGTCTTGTACTACTTACAAAGTGAACCTTTATATATTATGTGATTTGTTTTGTTTTCTTACTTTGTGAAAAGCTTTTTATATTTATCAGTTTCAACAGTCTGGTTTTCTACACGTACACTAACCGTTACTTAAATAATTGTTTGGGAAAAAGCAGTGTCTACATTTTTACAAATATAGTTTCCTTTTTTACTTTCATTTTTGCTGTAATGATTACTTAGGGCAGGCTTGAAAATTAAAGATTCTTTACAGCTTTCTTCAAGGATGGTAGATTGTAAATTCATTTATTTACTTTTTATGATATTTATTCTGATTATTTTGTCAGAATAATTTCTGAACCTCCTCAAGATCATACTCCGTTTTCTGAAATTTTGTTGATATTTTTTTTTCTTAGTTTGGTTTGCATTACATTTATGTTTCATATTCACACGCTCAGAAAAAGTGATGCAATAAAGACATTGGTCTTGCTGTTACATTTCATACTGATTTCCCAGATGTGAAATGTGATACGGGTGTTCTGCAAGGGACAGAAGGTTTTTTAAAATTTATTAATTTAAAAAAAAAGTG